GAAAATATATATTACTGAATAATATATAAATCGCAAACCAAGCCAAAGAATGATAAAAAAAAAAAAAAAGTGCGACTTATAGTCTGGAAATTCCGGAACTTAGTAAAATGTGTAAATTTGTATGGTTTATTCGTATTGACACGGTAAACCAGCAGCTTCTGTGTTCTGTGAGCTTCTTGTTTAGGAATCAAACTTTCTTAATATAAATATACTTTCCTTGTACCTGATTTCAACGTTGGTCTTTAATCACTGGTCTTTCTCAGTAATGTTGGCAGCCGTGCTGTATATTTCCTTCCCGAAGCTGGAGATTCAATTACATCACTGCCCATCACGGACACACACACTTAGACATGTACTAACACCTGTAAATGCTACAGGGCTAACGCTACAGTTTTGACGCTATTTTAAGTTGTGTATATTCCGTGTAAAGTCTTATGACAGATGGTCCGACACACACTGTTTGTCTGAGAGTAATCATCATGTTCGTTATACAACTAATGTATTTTTTCGCTTGTCATTTTTAACAAAAGCTAATTTTTTTTTTTTTTTTATAAATGCATTTTTTTTTTTTTCTTAATTCTCTTCTTTGCTCAAAGCCCCGTCACCTGGGTAACTTCCTTTTTCACCGTGTGTTTCGATTTTCTAGGTTGTTGCGTCGCCTGGCCACACTGCTCTCCCAGCAGGCCTCGCTCATGGCTTCGAACGAAGCCTTCAAGAAGCAGGCAGAGGGCGCCAGCAACGCCGCCAAGAAGTACATGGACGAGAATGAGCTGCTGCAGGAGGTGAATCTTCGCACCTTCACACACACACAGAACAAGTCATGATTTAATAGCACAAAAGGTGGAAGGAAGAAGAAGACGACAGTGTTTGTTTGATGGAGTTTGTGGCTTTAATAACCAACTTGAAGTCCTCCGTGTAAGTACATGTCAAGTTTTAAGACCCGCGTCCTTTTACGACATCGTGCGTGTATTTACAGCCCCTGAGGGGTTTAGTTTTAGGAAGCCCTACTTGTCTTCGGTGACACCTTCACCAG